AACACACAAAAGCCATATACGAGACACGGCCATAGACCAGCCAGGAGCGAGCACTATGGAACGAGCGAGCAGCGGCAGCGTACACAACGATGAGCTCAGCCTTGAGCTTACCCTGGCCGCTGTGGCGCCCATGCCTGGCACACCGGACGGCTTCTTCCTCTGCGTCCACTGTGACCGCAAGTTCCGCAGCTTGCAGGCACTCGGCGGCCACCAGAACGCGCACAAGCATGAGCGTGCCATCGCCAAGCGCCGGCGAGAGGCTGCAGCGGCAGCCACCCGCGCACACGAATCAAGGTCAAGGAAGGCGGGGAGGCATGCTGCTACTGCAGATGGCAAGCAGGGCGGGAGCTCGTCGAAGCGTGGTGACGACGACGAGGTGGACTTGTCTCTCCGGCTATAAGCGATCCCTCCATCGATCTTCTAATATAGGAGGATTCGTGTTATTTCCTGCTGGGTAAGTCAGAATCTAGCTACATTGGTTGGTTTGGAAAAAAATGTTTTACCTTCTGTCTCGTATAGCAACAATTTGATCAACCGTTTTCTTTCAAGCTCATGTTGGGCGTGTGTTAGATTCATCGGCTCTTCTAGTTAATTTTCTTCATAAGGTCTTGGAATTGAATGCCCAAACCTTCCTGGCACAAAATTCTTCATTTCTTTGGTTTCTATGCCTTCTCATGCTAATCACATTGCAGAAAAATCCAGATCTACCCAAATCTAAGTCCTTATAGCCCATTAGGGATCTCTAATATAAAACCATCATGAAATTTAGGTGTAGCTAACCTCCGGCTTTTGAACCTCCAACTAGTAAAACATATATCAATCTATAGAAACTAATGATCTTCTTTAATCTCATTTCATAGTCTCCAACGACAAATTGGAATGCAGAGGTATTTGAATGGAAACGAGCCCAAAAGCCCGAACTCTTGGGAAAGTTATGTTTAGGACACGAATGGTGTCAAAGAAAATTAAAATATGCTATAAATTAGTTGTATTGCTTCAGATCATGTTCCATAAAGTGTGTAGTGTCATCAACGTATTGAAGTATTCGCTCCTTTCCATTTTGATGGCCTATCTCGAAAATCAGAATTTTCCAATTTGTAAGGCTCATTTGTCTTGGGAACATGCAAACATAGCTTTGTCCACACTGAATTATTTCAATTTTTTGATCCCAATGTATAATCAACCAATGCATGAAGGACTGAGAGGGTCATGCATATAGCATTAATAAGTTGCCTAGAACTTATCACTAGTAGAAAAACGACTTTTAGTATCGGTTCGTAAGGACCTTTAGTACTTGTTCTGGAGCCGGCACTAAAGAGTGGGAACTAAAGGTCTCCCCTTTAGTCCCGGTTAAACACGAACCAGGACCAAAGGCCCACCACGTGGCACGAGGCGCGCCGTGGTTTGGGAGACCTTTAGTCCCGGTTGGTAAGGATTTTTTATTTATTTTTGAAATAAAGCAAAAACAGCCCACCTACTGGGCTAACACGGCCTGCATACGACTAGAAACTCAATCTCTAGTTGGGCCAGGATGTAGGCCCGTACGGCCCAGTAGTCCCCATAGGGAAGAAGACTTGCAATAGGCCTACAACGGCCTGCTTAGAGAGGAGATCGACATGGTAGCCGCGGCGGGGCTTATAAACCGGTGCGAGCTCCTCCCAACCAGCGAGGTGGGACTAAACATTGTGCACTGCGGGTGGCAGCGCACCACCTTTAGAACCAGTTGGTGGGTCCAACCGGTACTAAAGGAGGGGGGGTCTTTAGTACCGGTTGGAAACACCAAGACATACTAAAGGTGGAACCTTTAGTATGGTTTGGTGTCTCCAACCGGTACTAAAGACCCCCCCCCCTTTAGTACCGGTTGGAGCCACCAACCCATATTAAAGGCCACCATCTCTTTAGTACCGGTTCGTGGCACGAACCGGTACTAAAGATTCGCCACGAAC